TTTTGTAGGGGTCGGATTTCACCCCTATGAGATCGATATAACGACAAGATCAACTGGGCAGCATCCTAACGAAATCGGAGCAAATCTACAAGGACCCAGTCTGAATCTAGGCCCAAAATAACATTAAACCCATTAACAAAATGGGCTTAATAGATTAATGGGCCTAAATGTTATATATTGCATAATGGGTCAGGCCCATTTATTAGCTAGCCCATTTTACTTAGAAGTACTATATATAGTTCATTATCATCTCCCAAAAAGGGGATGGATTCATTTGTAACCAGAGCTTAACAGAAACAGCAATAAAACATATCTTCAACTTTTGCTTTGTGATTCATACTCAGAAGACTCAGTTCTCCTTTCAACCCTTGACAAATTCAACTGTGTAGGATCCGCCGTCCACAGTTTTACTTTTGAAAAAAAAATTACACGGACGGTTGCTCTTCTGGTTCGACGTTAGGGTCAATAAATGAATTCCCCTGTTTCTCGACTTATAATCTTCCTTTTTCCATCGAGATTATTTATCTCCAATTAATTGTGCAGTTCTCCTTTCGTTTTGGATTTCATTGAGGTCCCAAAGCCTAAGACTTATGTCTCCATTGACGATTGCTAACAATGGAGATTACAAAGTTGAATATGCAAACTTGGCGTCATGAAGAGTTACGTTGTAGAAAAGAGGAAAGCGGCTGGCTGGATTGGAAACCACATTGCATGTGAGGTTTCGTTTCATCTTACGCCATTTTTCTCAGGATGTTGTTTTCTATAATTTGTGAGCAATCGCTCTTATTTCTCTGATCCTCCTATACCTCACCTTTTCATGCTTGATGAAGCGGAAGGGATTTGATGACTGTTTTGATGCAGAGTCTCTCAAGGATCGTGATAGAAAAGAAATGGTGAAATAACTGAAAGAAATTAATGGCGAAGGAAGTACTATCGCGAGAGAGACACGGTCGATCATCGGAAGCCTGGAGGTCTTTTTTTCCCTCACTCCTGAGCCACGTGTCTTTTTTTTTCTGCTGACGTGTCAAGAGCTGGAGAGAGCCATTGCTCTTTTATATATAGGATGTTGTAAATCCACCAAATTAATTCAAACCAATTAAGTTTGTATTATTAATGTATTATTATGCTCTACGGACCACCATGGTCCATGCTCAATTTAACGTAAATACATGCACACATCACCTTAATTTAGAAGTTTAGAACATTTTATCATCATCTTT